TATTTAAAAAATTCTAAAAAATCTGATTAAAAAGTTGAAAATTTTGAAAAAAAAAAATTTTTGAATGAACCATATTTTTATACTACATTGGCGGAAAAATATTAGAATAAAAATTGTTGCATATATTATGAAAAATTTGCATATATTTTGCCCATACTTTGTTCCAGCAGTGTATGTGTTTGAACACCATCTCCTCTTTGTGGCCCATCGGCACGGCGAATTTAAAGAAATAATGCATTTTTTATAATAGATTTTGCTATTTAAATTTAAAAAGCACATTTAAAATGATCAAATATTCGTTTTTTTTCCTAAAATCTTATGAAATTCAGTCCGTGGTCCAAAAGGAACCGAAAACTCCTCGGAGAATTTTTATGCTGTAACAGCAACATCAACCCCATCCCACAAATTAAAAACTGTGAACGAAATTTGTATGCTGTTACAACAACAACCTAACCTAACCTAATTTTTAAAATTAGCTTTTACATTTGAATAATCGCTGGGAAAGAATTTAAAAATATGATAAACTTAGGACCGTTTTCTCGAGTAGCTTTTAAAGCTTATCTGCCCGTCAAACACATTTTTTGAAAACAAAATTTTGGGTTAAATGCTATGATATAAAAAATATATATATTTTTTTTGTTCAATAAAAAATACATATTACTTATATACATACATAAATACATAAATATGTATGCATATATGTATGTACAATGCAACCCTCTAGGAAAGGCAAACATATGTACCTCCATGCAAGTCGTACAGTTTCTAAAGAAGCATGGGCACATTCGTTTTCAGTAGACAGTGAATTTCTTTTCTAACATACAACGTTATTAGTGTGTAACTTTGCACCTCACTGTGCATGGAAGGCATGGCAGTAAACTTTATGAAATTTTCCTTAATAAGTGGAAAACATTGTTTCCATAAGAAGCGAAAAGGAGGCAATGTCGATTCAAAACTTCTGCTCTGTTTCGATAACCAACGAAGATAAATGTTTCCAAATAGCATTCTTCCATATTTTCCTTGAGGGAATGTACATATGTATGTACGTAGGTAATATTTTCCTACACCTCAAATGAACCCCAAGCGTGTCAGCTATCGGATGCATATGCACGACCAAAGCTTTTATAGTTTTATCAAAGCGTTGGCATCTTTAAACATGTGTACATAAATGAATCCATAATAATTGTCTAATAATCGGGCCTTCCTTTTTAATTACTAATACACTTTGCTAATTTGCATCAGAAGCAGGTTCCTCTGGCCTACATTTGTATGTAGTTACATATGTACTTACGTATGTACATACATACATTCCGACGACGCTGCACTATGGGAATAGTACAATAAATAAGATGAAACATAAATGAAAGCAAGTGCATATGATTATAACAAAAACAATAGTAGAACATTGTGCATTAAAGAAATAAGCGACCAATAAATGCAATTCAGCCTAAATTGATTTGTCAATAATTGGTGCAATGTCATCTAATGAGCAATGAACGCCGGATTTCTGGAGAAATCGCGCATAGGTAGCCTAATAATCGATGCCTATCGCTACATCTTGGCTTAGCATTGACGACATTAGCAATAAACAATTTTGCGCCAGCTGTGGGATGCACTTTTCAAATTCCTATTAGAATTCCAGATTAAGCTAACAATTGGATATAAACGTAAATATGTCTGTATGTATGTACTCACCTACACATGCATGCAAAATTCAAACCGCACACCTCCGTTTTTTTACCATTTATTTTCATCAGCTCCATCAATAACAAACACTTTTAGCATTCCACTTTTTTGGTTTTGGCACTGGCGAGGATTTTTAATATTACTTTATGTCAAGTTTTCTCAATTTAACTAAACTTATTCATAATTCCAACTCCAATTGCTCTAAATCCATTGAAGGGGTTTTTTTTCAAAACATTTGATTTTGACGTTTATCTCCCGGCAAAGGTGATGTCCAGGGTTGCTACTGCTACTTTCTTTCCTACCAGAGCTGATTCAAAACATAACATCTACTCCCAACCCAAATCCCAAAAACCTCCCATAAATCGAACAGTACTTTTTGTGAAATGACAACTCGTGGTCCGCGACCCATAAAAATGAACTGAACGTATTATAATTATAATTATAATTTCTTTAATTATAAGGATTTCATGAAAAAAAATTATAAACGTTTATTTTCCAAGATTAATACTATGTTCACGTTGAGTGTTTAATTGAAGTTTATGGGCCATTATGGGCCATTAATTGGCGCAAGTACAAAATAAAATGGATATCAATTGTTAAATATTTTGATTTTTTTAATTTTAATATCTTCTGAACAATGAAACCTATTAAAAAAACTAATGACGTCAAAATAAAGGTAATTAAGGGGTATTTCACTTGGTGTATATAATGGTTTTCTTTTTTTTTTATTTTTAAGCCAGAAGAATAACCAAAAAAAAATAGAAATATATTTTTTTAATGGCATTTATAAACGAAAATTATCAACGTGAACCAGCGTGAACATAGTATAAACATAAAAATTAACTTTAATATAGCCATGTTTCTCACCTCCTCTGTAACTAAACTTTCCCAACAGATGCCGCGGTATTTAGCGAGTATTAATTCACAAGCATGCAATCGCTGATTGTGATTAGCATTTTTCGACCGAAAAAGAAGCAGCATACACAAAACAGCATTCTTCCTGATTCTTCTTTTGCAAAGTGTTTTCGTTTTGCGACTTTCTTTATTTTTGTCTTAATTATTTACAGAAGTTAGTAAAAATGTCGTCGCATTCTGCTACTAAAATAGACCAAAAAGAATATCTTAAAAAGTATTTGTCCGGCGACAAAGTAAAGAAGAAAAAGAAGGACAAGAAACGCAAGAAGGATTTTGGTGCCGCTAAAGTGAAAATTATTGACGATGACGCTTCGTATAATCAAACACAACAAGAATTCGATGAGGAGCTACTTCTTGGTGGTGAGGATGCACCACAGATAGTCGGCGAGTATGTAGAAGAAACTGCTAACGGCTCAAGCGCGCCAAAGTGGCGTAGCATTGTAGTGAAAGAGGAAGACTTTGATGAGGAGAGTGAAGTAAAAGTGAATCACATATCAGCGGATGATTTGTGGGGACCGAAGCAAATTAAACGTAAAATTAAAGATGAGTTTTCACCACCACGTCGAAAAACAAATGTTGACACCCGTCAACGTTCACCAGATAACTCTCCGCCAAGGCGTAAACGTAAGGACAGTTTGAGTATGCGTTCACCAGTTGCAGATGAAAGAAGGCATGGGCATCTAACTAAACACGATTCATCTTATAAAAAAACTGGTTCACCAAAGTATAGTAGTAAACGACGAAAAGAAAAATCACCAGTTCAAAGTTCAAGAAAGGAAAAGCAACGTTCGCCTGGTACAGTTAATAGATCGCCCGATCAAAGCCCACCACGAAGGAACAAACGTACGCCGGATCAGAGCCCGCCCAGGCGAAATAATAGTACGGCAGATATAAGTCCTCCACGAAGAAGTAAACATTTATCTGATCGAAGAAAAGAAAGAAGTCAATCTAGAGATCAAAGTCCTATGAGAAAAAGAAGAGATTCAGCTGGTCCGAGCCCTCCAAGCAGAAGAAATCGTTCAGCTGATAGGCCAAAACATAATTCTGCCAACGGAAGCCCACCTCGAAAAAGCAGTCGCTACAACAAGGTCTCCGCAAGATCTTCAAGTTCCGACCAAAGCCCACCAAGAAAAAATAAACATAAAACAAGAAAGCACAAGAGGAAAAGTCGAAGTCGTAGTCGAAGTACTGATGAGAGTCCGCAGCGACGTAGGAAACGTGCCTCATCTTCTGACCAATCCCCACCGAGATATAGTAATACCAAAAAAGGACAAAAGAGTAGCAGATCTCCTACAAAAAAGAGTCATAGACATTCAAGCGATCAATCGCCTCCAAGACGAAATGACGGTAAACATTCACCGCCACGTAAGCGCCTGGATAACGGATCGCCAATTCGTATAAAACGTGAACAAGTTTTTCCAGACCAATCACCACCACGGCGCAAGCAAGAATTTGTTAAAAAGGAACCATCGCCTTCGCCGCCACCCACGCATAGTCGTTGGTCTAAGTTAGAGCGCAGGAGTAGTGATTCTCCACCGCCAACACACAAGCCAAAAGCTTCTAAAACACTCGATGGCAAAAGAGCTGGTCTGCAAGATGCCAAGTCGCTAATGCAAGAAACTGAGGAGCGTCGTAAGCGCGAGGACCGCATGTACAATGAGATGTCCAAAGAATTATCAGGACGTGATGCAGAGGTGCGTGTGCGCAACACAGGTCGCAAGGGTCAACGTGCCCGAGATGCCGAAGCAGAAGATCCTGAAGAGCGACGACGGAAGGAAGAGCATGAACGGAAGAAGAAGGAAAAGTACGATCGTTGGGGAAAAGGTTTAAAACAGGTCGAAGAACATCGACAACGAGCAGAGGCTGAATCATATGAAGGCAGTAAGCCATTAGCACGTTATGAGAATGACGAGGACTTGGATCGTTATCTACGCGAACAAGAACGCGCCGAAGATCCTATGTTGGAGTACATGCGAAAGAAGAAAAAGGAGCGGCAAAAAGATACAGGCGCAGTTGCAGAGATGCCTAAGTATGAGGGCTCATATCCAGAGAATAGATTTGGTATACGGCCCGGCTACAGGTGGGATGGAGTTGATCGGTCGAGTGGCTTTGAGAAGAGGTGGTTCGATGTGCAAAATGAGAAGCGTGCCAAGCAGGAGGAGGCATATCTGTACAGCGTGGAGGACATGTAATTCGAGGTATGGGATTTTTTAATTAATTTTGTATTTTGTGGTAAATCTTCTTTGTACGTCTTATTTTTACAGATATGAACATATGTGTACTCGCTGATAAAATGGCTACACCAGTTCGTGTGGAAAACGGTCGGAAAAGGCAAAGCATTCCATCCGCTGTTAATACTTGTGCTCCTTTTTATGTATTTATAAGCATACATTATAATGCAACTAAAAATTGTAATGAGTTTAGTTTAATTTTTAAGATTTTAAACAGATTTTTTCGCTAGAGACGAAGGTAAAGAACTTATTGAATTGAAGTTAATTCCAACTCAGAGTTATTGCATGGTAGCGTTCCGACATGGCGTTATTGAAAATGTTAAAATTGAAATTCAAAGTTACCCACTACGGATTCGAAGTAACGAGTATTTTGTAAATAAATACCATCAAGTCAGGAATTAATTGTATAAACTTTTGTAAAAAGAACTGTGCTGAAAAGGCAAAAACGATAAATATAATTGTTTAGATGAAACCATTAAATTTTACCCACAATTTCAAAAAAAAAATTCATTTCTAATATTTTATTTTTAGAAATATATCTTATTTATGAACAAAACTGCAAGGATTAGGAAAACATGTTAAAATATCTTACTACATACATTCGCTTAATGCCAGAGTTTTATCGTTCTAGAATAAAATACTTTTCATATTTCAACAATTTATTACTTGAAAAATTTATTTACATTCGCTAAATACAACTCTAGCGTGAATCGGTTTGGTACAAAATGCCTCTACAAGACTCGACTACCCAGTTGGACTGTGTAGAATCAAAGGATGTAAATCTATTTACCTTCTTTGGTTTCGGGTAGTTTTTTCAACTCGGCCTTATACCATGTTCTGACCGACATCGAAAACATGTTTTCGTTGCTAAAACTGGTTTTCGACATAAAACTTGTGTTTTCGTCCATGTAAAATCTGTCAAACGAAAACTAGTTTTCGCTGAAAACCACTTGAAAACTCACGTTCCACTCATTCCAATCGGTGTGTGCACTAGTTTTTTTCGATTATTTATCGAAGTGGAAGTCATATTTTGTCATCTTTCATACGCCACTTCGGATTTATTGGCCCGTAGTCATAGTCAAAATAAAGTCGACTTTAAAGTTAGTTGCAGCTTTTTGACATAATTTTCAATGGGATATCTGTCAAAAAAGCTGCAACTGACTTTAAAGTCGACCTTATTTTGACTATGACTACGGGCCATTGTTAATTGGCTGACCAAAATAAAATAAGTATGGAAGTAAAAGGTTGTTAATGAAAAGAAATTGAAGGAAAATTATTTTGGTTTTGTATTTGTGTAGCAAAACTGTAAACAAAGGATGTAAGAAATGTCAGCGAAAACACCAAAAGTCGGTGCGAACAGCCTTCAGCCTACAATCCTAAAACTCGTTTTCAAGGTGTTTTCGTTGTCAGAACATGGTATTAAGAAACTCATAGCCTGCATTTCATTATTCATTCTGAACGTTTGGAATAAACTTTTTTGTTTATTTATTCTTTATAACGTTCCTGATGATATGTTGACGTATATTTCAAACGTGTTCTGTTTATTCCGGCTGTGAAATGGGATTATCCGGAATGTATAAAGAAACGCAGCCATAGAAACGAAATGTATGGTGGTAAGCGTTGAGCATTGGTTAAATCACATGTATTTACCCGATACTGTTCTTGCTGGGGCACTATCCAAACGGTTAGAACCAAAGAACCACAATAAACAGCGCGATAAAGCAGCACACAAAGCAAATGTGCAACGAAATATGACAACAACAGTTGGTTATTTTTTGGGATTCTGCAAGTACAGTATTGAAATGTCTAAAATATCTATATTTATTTGTAACTTAAATATTTAGCTCGCTAATGAAACCTTAAAGAAATTACATTTTGTGTAAAATTGAATTCAATTGGTAAGTAGTATAACATATTTATATGGAAAGTAAATTAAAAGTGCTTTGTCTTGTTGTTTTGAAATGATCCGAAGGTATCGCTTGGGCATATTATGTTGGTGACTTCATGGATTTTATGTATGTACATAGTAGTTGCAGGTGGCAGGTAGCTAAGTTGGTAGCTAAGCTGGTACATATTAAGACGCTAGGACGCTTAAATGTATGTGCCCGCCCAATTTTTAATTCATTTTATGCCTACATCCATACCTATATGTACTATCAAATCTGTGGTCATATGGAATAGTAGCTTAAGTCAGAAGGCTGGCTT